AGCGTAGGATAAGCAAGTTATTCCTTTTGGAACTGATTGCCATTGGGCAGGCTGCAAAACAACTTTTATGAGCATGAGTGTTGTTCAAAGAGATGCTGTGAAATAGCCCACAAAGAGAGAACCGATAAGCAAAGAGATGCTCTGCAATAGCCCACAAGAGACAACCGACAAGCCTTCAAAGACGGGTCACACGTCAAGAGCCGTGCGCTGACTACATCAAAAGCAAAGGCCAATGTTTTGGGGTTTAGGGTCTCGGGTTTAGGGTCAAAAGGGTTTAGGGCAAAGGGTAAAGAAGCCCAGCCGAGGATAAGCCCAGGATAAGCACAGATGAGCCAGGAGAATCCCGCAGGATAAGGTCAGGATAAACCCAAGATAAGGGAGAATCCCCAGGATTTCAGGGATGAGCGCAGGATAAGCCCAGGATAAGCCCAGGATAAGCCCAGGATAAGCTCAGGATAAGGGAGAATCCCCTGAGCGGGCAGGGGCTTCAGGGATGAGCACAGGATAAGCCCAGGATAAGCCCAGGATAAGCCTAGGAAGCCCAGGATAAGCCCAGGATAAGGGAGAATCCCCTAAGTGGGCAAGGATTTCTGGGATAAGCACAGGATAAGCCCAGGATAAGCCCAGGATAAGCCTAGGATAAGCCGAGGACAAGCCCAGGATAAGGGAGAATCCCCTATGTGGGCAAGGATTTCAGGGATAAGCACAGGATAAGCCCAGGATAAGCCCAGGATAAGCCTAGGATAAGCCCAGGATAAGCCCAGGATAAGGAGAATCCCCTTAGTGGGCAAGGATTTCTGGGATAAGCACAGGATAAGCCCAGGATAAGCCCAGGATAAGCCTAGGATAAGCCGAGGATAAGCCCAGGATAAGGGAGAATCCCCTTAGTGGGCAAGGATTTCAGGGATAAGTGCAGGATAACCAGGATAAGCCTACGATAAGCCCAGGATAAGCCCAGGATAAGGGAGAATCCCGTTAGTGGGCAAGGATTTCAGGGGTGAACCCAGGGTAAGCCCAGGCTAAGACCAGGATGAGGGAGAACCCCCTTTTGAGCAAGGATTTTCAGGGGTGAGCCCAGTAAACAGGTTGTTGGGGCTTAAGGTCAAGTGTCTCGGGGTTTGCTGCTTGTAAGGGCTTAGGGCTGAGGGTTGAGCGTTTCGGGGAAACCCCGGAATGAAATCAGCGGCATAGTCTCATCCCTAAGCCTGAAACCCTAAACCATTTCGACGCATTCAACCTTCAACAGTTAAACCCTGAACTTTCCAAAGTGTAAACCCAGAACTCCTTTCAAGACTCATCGGTGTTCATTCGCAACTCCATTTTTCATCTTCCAAATGAGTTTTTTGTGTGTCTCAGATGTCCATATGGATTCACAATGGAGAGATTTCAGACCACAAAGTTCTCGTCGAAGCTTCATGGATTATACCAGGATTAGCTAAGGATTAGCCAAGGATTTCCAAGTATGCCAAAAGTGATTAATGTAGCATAAGCTATGGATAAGCAAACCCCCCCTCCCCCCCACCCCCCTCCCCCCACTTCATGAATATATATATATATATATATGATACAATTTTCCTTGTGTTATCGATCATAGACTATCCGCTATGTATGGTCTGTCATTTGCTCTCGCTCTCTCTCTTTCTCTCTCTCTCTCTCTCTTACATACATTGCATCTTACATGCTGATTACAACAAAAATATTGCATGTTAAATACTATACATCATATCATGTCATAGTATAAATGTAAAAATGATAACAACAATAGTAATAGCAATCATGATTATTTTTCTATATATATATATATATATATGCACACACACATATTTCTTATCACACTTCATAGTACACTATACCATATGCAGCGAGGCCTCTTACAATCTCGTCCTTGCCGTGGAGCTGGCCGTCACACGCTTCCAGGAGGCCGCGGCCGCTCCCAACCTACGTGCCGCCCAGTCCGCGGCGAGCGCTGTGTGCGAGGCGGCGGAGGAGCTCGCCAGGCAGTACAGGGTGGAAGGCATGGAGGCTAGGTAGGATTGGGACCATTTTTCTCTATCTTTCCTTTTACTTTTGGGTTTTTACAGGATCAGAAATTCAGCAATTATTTCAGGCGGCTTTCCTGGGCCATCCTAGGAGAGGGCCGTGCGGACAGAGGAGTGGGTCGGAGGAAGGGCCGAGGTGGCGAACTGGCAGCGGGCCTTGGCAGCAGAAGCCTTCGGCGCCGCAGCGGCCGAGGCATCGGTCGCGGTGGGCGAGGCAACTCGGCAGTTTGAGGCTGCGCACCTTGGTGGTACTTGGAAGATAGGAAGTCCTTTTTTGGGTTCCTAAGAAACAGCAACGAAGCCATAGTTTTTGCTAGGGTTCTGCAAGTTCAGTGTAGGCACAACTTGCTTCAAGCGAGCATCATCCCCGAGCGACAAGACCTTCTGCGCGTTTGGCGTCAGATCGACGAGGCTTCTTGGTCACAGTTGGGAATTTTTTTAAATACATTTTTAAGGGTACTTAAACCCAACAGGTATTTAAACCCAACAAGGAATAAGCATAAGCTTTTAATACGATCCCAGCCATGAACGAGGCTTGGGCGAGTTTCAAGGCACAGCTGCAGGGACAGAGTGTGGCTTCAATGGCTTCTTAGTAGCTGAGTACACTCTACACTTTTTGGGCTAGTATAAGACCCCCCCCCAAAAAAAAACTGAAAGTGTGCACCCTTTTTTGGGGCTTCTGAACTCAGCAACTACTTACTCTAGCCCCCTTGGGAATGATTAGTTTTTTTAAATTTTGTTTCTATACAGCCCAAAAGAGGATATCAAAAACATTGTTGTTTTATGAAGGTTCTAAGGGGAGCACAGACTTCAGGCTTCGGCCCTGAGCCAGTTGGATGCACTTCTGGTCTCGGCCGTGCCGATGTTCGGGCGTGCGGATCGACCGAGTCCGCCGCCATCCCCGCTCCTTTTGGTCATAGTTGGGTAGCATTTTTACATGCTTTAAGGGTACTTAAACCCAATGAGGGATATGAACATTGTTCAGGGTACTTAAACCCAATAAGGAATATAAGCATTTTTACGGGTACCTAAACCCAATGAGGGATATAGATCTTAAATTTTAATACGATTCCCAACCATGAACTAGGTTCCTCTTCGCAGCCACGTACACGATACTGGGCTCGCTGCTCGCAGTTTGCGGGTGTGCTGGTTGTTGCGTGTTTCGTATGTCCCGCCGAAAGGCGCTTGACGATCAGGCAACTGCTCAGAGCTACGCGTAGGTACTACACCCGAGCCGTTGCGGTCACTTTTGATTGTTGGCTAGGTGGGGGATCGATGGATTTAGTATGCAGCCATCAAGCAGGGCCATCAAGTACCATAACCCCAACTAGGATCACTTGCAGAGTACTTGTAGGGTACTTCATTTATCTAACAATATTGTGTGTCCGATTCTTTGTTGAGCCAACAGGCATATCAGCGTCTTTGAAATCCGAAATGACAGACTCCTTGGTAAATTGTGGACAGGGCAAGTCGGCACCCGATCATCCAAGCAAACCCTAAATCCTAAATCCTAAGCCCTAAGCCCTAAACCCTAAACCCTGAACCCTGAACCCTAAACCCTAAACCCTAAACCCTAAACCCAGTAAAGCCTAAACCCTAAACCCTGTCCGGTTCCGCGCCGCTGTGAGTTTGCAGCCGGCGGGGGGGGCTTGTAACCCAGAGGTTCTTATTGAGGCAGTGGGATTTATGTAACTTTCTATTCTTCCGTTCTTTCATTCCCTACAAAGAACTGGTGAGCTGTGCTGCTTGTAAACCGCATCGGTGGCAGGGCTCTCAAATCCCGCGTGTCATTCGGGAGAGTTCAGCAATCGTTTGCCGGCACCTCGGTCGTGCTTTATTGCCGAACCCCGAATCTGTTCAATTCGCCTGGTTCTGGCCAACCTTTATGAGTGGAGATCAGAAGAGGAATCATTCCTCCTTTTGTGCCCCGCAGGCTTCGGAAAAAGTCAACGGGTCACTTTCCCGAAGCACATGTACATGAACCGTCCACAATGCCATTAGAGCCCTGGACAAGCCTCATTCCGACGCCAACGGGCAGTTCCAAAATGTACGTTCCCGCTGTCTTGAGACAGCCGAAGCTTCTCAGAATACCCGAGATGCTTCATATTGGTAGTTCTCCAACTCCAAAAGGACCTGAAGTCCGAGAGCTACCTCTGTCCCAAAACCCCATAGACTGGAAGCCGCGGCGAGTAAAGTCCTCTGCAGGGTTGTATGCTTTGGGAGGTTGATCAGAATGCCTGTTCCCGAAAAGCCTTGTATCCCTTTATAAACTCATAGGAATCCTAACTTTCCCAAGAAGGGCCTAAACCTTAACCCTGAACCCCAAACTGTAAACCCAAAACTCAAAACCTTAAACCCATACCCTAAACCCTAAGGAAGGGCTCTTCGAGATCAACCCACGTCCATGCTTGGTTGGGATAGGTGCGCGGGCCTGCGCCCTTGGCTCGTGCGCGCAGAATACTTGTGCCGGAAACCATATGGTCACCTCTCTAAAATATGGTCCCTTTTTTTTGGGGTCCTTACTCGGAGGCGGCCCTGTCATGTAGGGTGCCCAAAACAAAACCGTAATTTTCGGGAACTGGAGCTAGCTGAGGAGGCCCTCGAGGCGCTGTTCATATCGCATCTGCAACAGCGTAATGGGTTTAGGGTTTAGGGTTTAGGGTTTAGGGTTCATGCTTGATGAGTGAGCTGGGGGGCAGTCCCATCAACACAGGGCATAAGGGGCAGATGCTAAACTTCATTGAGACGCGGAGACATGTGTTCTATATGGAAAAGAAGAGTGGCGCTGAATACCTTCGTTTGGCAGATGCGCCGCTCTTAGCCTTGGGGGCGCAGACCAGCTCGTTACCTGCAGTCACAAGGTTACAAAGAACAAAGGCCGACATCATCATCGCATCATTTGTCGAGCACGTACAGTCTCTACTTCATCAGTCGCATGCTTGTTTCATGCAAGAGCTTGCAATGTTGCCAGCATGGATGTCTGGCAGCAAAGGCTGCGGAAAGCTCAAGAAGTTTTTGGATGAACGTCCTGAGCTTTTTGCGGTAACGCAACACCGACAGTTCTTTGTCGTGTCACTGATGCACCCAAAGGCCAACCATGTGTTGTCGCCATCTTACAGTGACATCCAAAACTTGCCCTGCGCTGCCGATTATTCCGATCCTGTACCGGACGTCAAGTTTGCATCGGGCCAGCCACAATCACCAGAGCAGCCTAACACGCGGTGGTTCGCGCTGCTCTCATCAAGTTCCGCGAAAGCCAACAGGACATGTTATTTGCCCGAGCTGAAAGCACTTCCACAGTGGGTGGAGTGGACAGGGCGACCCAAGTTGAAAAGCTTCATCAAAGATCTGGTCACTTTGGAAACAAAAAGGTGGGAAACAATTGTCGTACACTTGCGACCATTTTACCTCGCAGAAGATGCGAGCAAAGATGTTGAGGCACTTGGTAGCATCAGCAGTCCCAGTTCTGAGTCTGTGCAGGAACCTCGGGCAGGCATTCCAGCAAGTCCTGCAACAGAGCCGTGGACAGGAATCCATGAGCCTCTGGTTTGCTCAGCGGGTACCCTCCTTCTAGCAGCGGTCATTCAGCGGATCGTGCCAAGAAGTCGGAGGGATGCTGCTCGATTTGGCCCTTGGTCAGACCGTCCTCGTGCATCCCTTCTACATCCGACTTACCCATGACAGGTTGCAACGAATGTTCACTTGCGGACGGCGGTTGGAGCAGGTTGCTCGCCAACTTAGGGACCAAACGATTTCTCCTGAAGTGCTGCCAGTGATCGAGATCGTCGGCACCAGGGAAAGTGGTATTCACGAAATAGTCGCAGGCTCTGGTGCTTAAGAAACGCAGGTTTGGTCTCAATACAAGCTCGGGTTGGACGAGAGGATGCGCGTTTTTGAAGAGGACTGACCACTGCAAGTGACGGTTGGTTCGTGGACTTCCACCCTCCCTGCATATGCAAGAAATGCGGCTAGAATTCCCGAAGAGGGAGGGTGTGCGATGGCATGTGTGCAGATGATTCTTGCGGCGCTCAGCACTGGATTGGGCTGACCAAGCCTCTGAAGATCCGAGGACTCGGATGGCTCAGGGAGCGGAGACTACGGGGAAGATGGGCGCTGGTGTTCCGATGCCACGTGGTCACAGCGCCTTGAGACGGATGAGTGCTGGCAGGGTGACGACTGGGGTGGGGTTCCCTTGTGGCGTGCCGCCGCCGCTGGAAATAACCAGCTCGCGACCCGCTTGTTGGAAGCGGGAGCGGATGTTGACGCGTGCGACGCCGACGGTGTTTCACCGCTGCTTGCGGCAATGCGGAGAGGACACTGGTATGTTGCTGAGCTCCTTCTCCGGTATGGCACGTGTCAAGCTCCTTGGAAGAGGACGGCTCGGTAGGGTAAAAAGTAGTCCAGTTGCAGAGCCTCGAGATATGACAGACTTGTTGCAGCTGTGAAGTCTGGGCGGAGCATCTTTGGACGGGATCTGAGCGAAGCCTAAAGTCAAAAAGAAGGCGACCAAGGTCAAGAGCTAATACCTTGTCAGCCCCTTCTGAGAGAACCGACGTGCTCGTTTGGGGGTGGCACCGGCATGTCTGCTCGGCGACATCTTCATCTCATCATCTCTGTGTGATGGCACAAGGCTAGGTTTGCTGCCAGCTTTGTCAGAAAATACAGGGAGGCAGAGCCGGCCAAGGCGAAGCAAGCATGGCAGGAGGTTTTTATGGCTCATGGCTCACTCAGAATGTGAAGAGCAAGAGGTCAAGCCTAAGCCATACAGTCCTCAACCCCTAACACCCTGAGATCCTCCTGAAGCCTTAAGCCCACTTCCTGTCGGTTGATGTTCCAAGGTAAGCATATTCCTTCGTGGTGCTCAGTCAGGGTTTAGCGTTTCTAGGGCTTAGGGTTCTACAGCAGCAGGTTGTCTTCTTCGGTGTTTGCATAATCTCTAAACCCTGAACCTTGCATTGGTTGGTGGTCTCTTTAAGTAGGGCTTCTGTTTTGTAGGGGTTCCTATTAGGGTACCTCGGGGCTATATTAAGGCATATGGGTAACGGATAAAAAGGCCACCGGCCTTTATAACCTAAACCCTAAACATTAAAACCGAAACCCGAAGCCCTAAACCCTAAACCCTAAACCCTAAACCCTAAACCCTAAACCCTAAACCCTAAACCCGAAACCCGAAACCCTAAACCCTAAACCCTAAACCCACAAGCATCCTCAGAAGTTAAAGCCCGAAGGCCCCCCCACGGCTCAAGGGCTTGGAGCCTATCCGTCAGGGACCCCAAATGGGGTTTAGGGTTTAGGGTTTTGGGTTTAGGGTTAAGGGTTAAGGGTTTTGGGTTTAGGGTTTAGGGGTTTGGGTTTCGGGTTTAGGGTTTAGGGTTCAGGGGTTAGGGTTTCAGGGTCTTTGGGCCAAAGACCACACTTAGGGCATCATATTGCTTGTAGTTGTGTTGAATTCCAACGGCCGTGTGATGCGGCAGACAGACGCCGGACAGTTGCAGCTAGGCCAAGTGCGCCAGGCGCAGTTTAGGGTTCAGGGCTTAGGTTTAGGGTTTAGGGTTCAGGGTTTAGGCTTTAGGGTTTAGGGGGCCCCGAAACGGGAGCCAGTTGTCACCGCGAATAGACTTTGTAAGGTTTGAGGGAAAGGGCCCTGGCCCCCCTGAGCCCGAAACTTGAAGCCCCTAAACCTTAACCCGAAACATGGGGGGAGGCCGGGAAGGCTGTGTGTAATAGAGGGGTCGGCAAAAAAGTCCAAAAATAGTATCCCCTTCGGGTCCCCTAAGCCCTAAGCCCTAAACCCTAAACCCCCCAAAACCCTGTTCGAATGAATAAGGTTCTCTTTATTACGCGGTTTGCCCTCCCATGGTTGAAGCAGACTGCGCTTGACTGTGACGGGAAGGCCTACACCCCGAATGGCGCTAAATCCTGAACTCTAGACCCTAAACCCTAAAGATTAAACTAAGATGCATCCTGAGCCCTAAACCCTAAACCCTACACCCTAAACCCCAAACCCTAAACCCTAAACCCTAAACCCTAAAGTCTAAAGTCTAAACCCTAAACCCCAAACCCTAAACCCTAAACCCTAAACCCTAAACTCTAAACCCTAGACCCTAAACCCTAAACCCTAAACCCTAAACCCTAAAATGCATCCTGAGCCCTAAACCTGCGGAAGCCGCGCTCTACCGTGAGGCAGTCGGCAGCAAGCTGCTGGGAAAGCGGCCTCATGATGAGGCGCTTTGGGGTTTAGGGTTTAGGGTTTAGGGTTTAGGGTTTAGGGTTTAGGGTTTAGGGTTTAGGGTGAGGGGTCCGGGGTTGTGGGGTTTAGGGTTTAGGGTTTAGGGGTTTAGGGTTTAGTGGGGTTTAGGGTTTAGGTTTGGTTTTGAGGTTTAGAGTTTAGGGCCCAGGGTGTTGCGGTTTTAGGTTTCTGGGTCTGGGGTTTAGGATGTGAACTGTTGGGTCTTCCGTTGTGTTTTGGGTGCAGGCAGATGTTTCCAGGTTGTGCCAGTCGTCCCCAGCTGTACTTGAGTTTGGCTTAGCCCTGAAGCTTAAGCCCGATACCCTGAACTTGGGATGTTCCCCTTATACTAACATTCCTGAAAAGGGATTATAGTACCCCCCCTAAACCCTAAACCCTAAACCCTAAACCCTAAACCCCAAACCCTAAACCCCAAACCCTGAGCCACCCGAAGCCCTTTGAGAGCATTCTATTTGGAAACCAAATGCATCGGCTGTTGGAGGGCTGCAAAGCGTGATGTAAGGCTTCGGCATCGCGTCCCCCCCATGTGTGTGTGTGTGTGTGTGTGTGTGTGTGTGTGTGTGTGTGTGTGTGTGTGTGTGTGTGTGTGTGTGTGTGTGTGTGTGTGTGTGTGTGTGTATGTAATGTGTGTATATATATATTTATACACATACATATATGTCGCTTATGTCGCATTATAATGCGCTGAAGGAGAAGTAGACATGACTATGATTCGGGTACTTCGAGGTTTTAGACATTGGATTCAGGCTATAAGGGTTTAGGGACCCCAAGCCCTAAACCCTGAACCCTCAAACCTGAACCCTAAACCCTAAACCCTAAACCCCAAACGCTAAGCGACACGGTGGATCTTACCACTCTTTGGAGGAAGTAAAACATCCCGACATCGATGAGCTCGTCTCCGCCGCTTGGCAGCTGCGGGGGTTTAGGGTTTAGGGTTTAGGGCTTAGGGCTGAGGGCTTAGGGCTTAGGGCTTAGGGCTTTGGGTTTAGGGTTTAGAGTTTAGAGTTTAGGGTGATCTTTAGAGTGTTTTTTTTTTGCTTGCTCTTTGCGGGGGGGGGGGGGGGGCAACGGTTTCCACGCTTTGCGGGTTCAGGGTTTCGTGGGTTTACGGCTTTGCAGGTGTAGGGTTTTGGGTTTTAGGGTTTAGGGTTTAGGGTTGCAGGTGTGGGTTTTGGGGTTTTGGGGGTTCAGGGTTTAGTGTTCACAGCGAAGAGCGTGTCCACTTGTCACGAGAGGAGGGTCCCAAAGCGCAAAACCCTAAACCCGAGACCCTAATTAAGCCCTAAAACCTTGGGGGGGAAGCCTGAATACCGTAGACCCCGAACCCTGAGCCCCATCCAAAGAGACCTGCAAAGTGAGTGCCGCTCAACATCGCGCAACTCTCAACCGAATCCAGTTCCTTCAACCACCAAACCTCCCCAACCCCCCCAAAAACCGCAACCTTTGAACCCCGAAACCCTAAACTAAACCCGAAACTGCTGAGCTTGTCCTTAAAGTTTGGGAGCCTCAGCCCTCAACTCTAGATCCTAAACCCGAAGCCCTGAGCTTGTCCCTGCTTCGTGCTCTTGACAACATGTAGAGCGGATGCATGGCATCCCAGACCGTTTCGACGCCAAGCTTGGGTTGAGGGTGTCGGGCTCAGGTTTTGGATGTTGAAAATTTAGGCTTTGAGGGTTTAGGGTTTAAAGTTTAGGTCGGGCTTGAGGGTTTAGGGTTAGGGTATCCCCAATATATACATATATATATATGCTCACACATATATATATATATATATTTTATTTTTTTTAAAATGCTTTCTGTAATTAAAGGGTTCTGAAGTATGGGTCTTTAATTTGTATAGGGTATATGAGGGGGTATGTAAGGGGGTCCCCTTTAAGGGCCCCGTGCTAAGGGACAATGCGACTACCCCAAGATACAGCCCGAAACCTGAATCCATCCGCCAACTGCTTTGACTAAGGCAATGCAGAAGCGGCAGCGTGGGGCAAGGTCGGTCCAAAACCCCATACCCAAAATTCGCCTGAAACCATCGCTTCATCTACACCTTAAACCCCTAAACCCTTAAACCTAGCCATGTTTATCATGCACTGTGATCCTTATTCAATGACGGCCAACCGGGGATGACCCACCTGACGTGATGTACTCAGCTTACTTGGAATCCCTTCGGCGTCGTTGAGAAGCCTAAGGCAGACAGTGTCTTGGACCCACAGTAAAGTACTGACAGCATGCAAGACAACTTTTTGGCTTGTGCACGGGCCCGCCCTAGTAGGCTTGTTCCAGGATTGTTTGACAAAGTGCGGGTCAAGGATACAGAGGTCAGACTCACGAAGGCTTGCAACACACCTAAACCCTAAACCCTAAACCCTGAACCCTGAACCCTAAACCCTAAACCCGAAACCCGAAACCCTAAACCTTTCTTCATGGTTGTGAATGA